TTTTGCACCTTTGAGTAAATCCTTCCACAGGTGAATTACACATATATGCACAAGGAATATCAATGACAATAGAAATGAGAGAGAGAAAAAATAAAAAAGACACAGCTAAAAGGATTTGTCTAAAAGGATAAAAAAAACCCTAATGATTTAATGATAACATTACAGTACCTTCTGTGCTTTTTGTCCTTTGCTCAAGAGCCCAGAGGTATGTTTTGGTGATATTTTTTAAATGAAAGAGTTCTGCACAATCATAATGGCAGCTGCTACATTTGTCACTAATACACTGAATCATGTGTTAGGCCTCTCAGCATAGCCATAGCTAGCTATTCTAGCATGCAAGGCAACTGACATTGTCTCTCACCCCTTTTGGCTCAACACATGGGTGCATGCCACCTCTTCAGAAAAAGAAGGAGAGGAATATGGACACACACACACCCCAAAAAGAAAAAAAAGTAAATGTATGCTTTTCAAAAGAAGAAGAAGCAAAAAAGTAGTGCTGTTAATTTCCTCAAAATCCATCAGCAGGTTCACTTCTAGATTTCAGCATCCCTTCAATTGTGGTGATTGCTCCACCATAACTATAGGCCTATCTTTCACTGAGATTACAAAACGGAGAGCAGTAAATGGACCATATCTCCTAGAAGATCAGTTCTGTCCAAGGATGTGTGTCACTTGTCAGTGGCTATCTTCACACAGCCATTGAACTGTACATAATGTGAATGTGGTGTAAGGGAGAGTGGGTTCATGGTAGCAAGCCCAGCCACAAGCTATGCATATGCACCCATGTCTACACTCCCCAAACATGTGCAGTCCTCAAGCATGTCAGCAATATGTGAACAATTGAACAAATGTGGAAGTGTTCAGGGTAGGATCCACACATGATGTACCAAGCACTAAGCATTCACTGCCTAGTTTGACAATTTACTGGCACACACCAGGGCTACAGGAAGATGTAGTTGTTCCTGCTTCAGATGGGCAAGTAAAAGTACAGTAGGATATATGAGGGATTGGTTCCAAGCCCCTTGTGGATGCTGCACATCATGGATAACAGTGAAAGCTATGCATAGTAAGGTTTAAAAAAAACTTCAGAATGTTTTTTTTTCAGACGCATTAACAGAACTGGCCATTAGAGAATGCCAGGACCATGTTATGTATTCTTCAACAACAAGAATTCATAGCACTGTCTCTGGCTGCCTTTAGTGGTCTGTTCCGGTAATATGTGAAAATATTTTTTTTCTGGATCTAATTTCCTTTTAATGTTTTCAATGCAGTATTTTCAGACTGCGGGTAAAGGAAACCATGAATACTGATCATGGATATCAGGGTCGTACTGCACTTCAATGCAGATTTCATAGCAGTTGGGGTAGGATGTACCAGTCTTCAGATATTGTTGGGCTGCAACTCCCACCATGGCCATGCTGATTGCACCTGATGCGGGACAGGGGATTCACATTCTCTGGTCCTGTTTTGTGGGCTTCCTCGATTTTGGTAAACTGCCATATCACCACAAAACAGAAAAGTCTACTTCCCCCACTGAAATGATGGTGGACAGGAGAGATATTGCTATATTGAGCCCATCTCTATGATAATGTAAGTGTTAGGTCAATGTGATCAGCAGTGCTTATGCACTTCCAACTCAAAACATGCATTTCAGAGGTAATCTGAAATCAAAGATACAGGGTATTTCAGAAATTGTATTTCTTACAACTACCGCCATCACTTTAAGAGCAATGAGATATGTGGTGGCGGAGAGCCACACATGTAAACATACAGTACAGTATTTCAGCATGTAAATATTCGGTCAGTGGATCAGCATCTATTGTGTACATAAATAAATACAGATGTTGCTGTGGATAACTGCACTGTAAAAAAAGAAAAAGAAAATTACTATTCAGTGGTATTAGGGGAAACAGTTGTAAAACAACCTGAAAGAGGGTGGGAAAAATGCCAAAAATCAGAAGGTTATTATAATCCAATCTAGTTTTGGCTTCTCTCTCAGCACTGAAGTGCCAAGATAATGGTGTTTTCAAGTTCACAGGCATTGCATTACAGTAGTGAAACAGAATGAAAGAACATGAATTCACATTTGGCACATGCTTTGGGACACACAGGTGAAATTAATAAACGTACACCTGTTTTATGCTTCAAGTAGGGAACTGCACGTCATCTTTTTTCCCTATCTGGAGTAAAAAAATAATTCCTAACATCAGTTTCTGATTGGATTAATTACCATGAAGGGAATATTGTTTCCTTCCATTTGCTAACAGCACAACTGAAGGGTGGGGGGAATTTAAGAAGTACCTTCAAGATATAAGAGAATGGCTGTTCACTGGGACGCCACCTTTAGCCCTGCTTTTGTCGGAGGAACCAATTTTTGCACAATATCCAGCTGGCTATTTGAGATGCTCCTGATATATAAACCAAGGGGTTCTTCATGATTCATTTTATTGTGGAGACAAAAGATTATGTAGCCATGGAAGTTGTACACAGTCAAGCCAACTGGTGATTTCAGCATTCAGTTGATTTTCCCTTTCACCATGAAATGTATGGAAAAATTGATTTATAAAGGGTTATAATCTGGGCAAAATGTCAGATAATTGATGTATAAAAATGTGGCAGCACATATATGCGTGAACATGTGGAGGCTAAAGCAAGTGTGCAAGGAACGGAAAAAAAACTTGTCTAGGCCCATCTCAAGTGCTTTTTTGGATCATAGCCTTTTGTGCTTGGTGTTGTGAAATTCCACTACTCGTGAAGAAGATCTGGTGAGTTTGTGTTCCTTTGGGGTGTATTTTCCAATGGACTGAAAGAAAACAGTGAAATACCTCTTTTCCTGCTGTGAGACAACTTGCTGGCACACGTTAATAGCACTGATTTCCATCCTGCACATTCCATTAGTATAATCTTGATGAGGAAAGGAGGCAGTAGCTTCAGAAGTCCTCATTACAATTGCATTTCTAAGCAAGAGCTCTGTCATTGTTACTGAACATCAGTTAACAAAGATGGCTGACTGACAAGCAGAATTAAAACAGCCAAAGATCCTGTGGCAACTTAAATGTCTGCAAATCCATGGTGGGGGTGAGCATTCCAAAGGCTATAGGCCATTTTGTCAGATGAGGAACATAACTGTTTATTCTTAAAACGATTTGTTGTTGGCTGGGTAGGTAGCTCGACTGGTAATTAGAAGAGAGTTCTATTAATCAGAAGCAGCAGAAGAAAGAGTGCTAAATGAAAGGCTCAAATGCTCAAGAGATGATTCTATGGATACACATCAGTGCACAAGAGATCAAATCACAGCGTCTCTGTGGACAGACATCAGAATCCAACAGTCAAACAGAGACTCCCAAAAATATATGTATATATTTGCTCCTGGTGGCAGAAAGATGTGGCGCTTCTACCCTTCAGCTTCTTGAAAAGAATTTGATAAGTTCACCTTCACCTAGATTTTAAATGTGCCTCTGCATTACCTTCCTTTGTTTGACAACTTCATCAAACATCAAAAATCTGCTCATTATTTAGCTTTCAAAAGGATTACTGGAATAAGACTCCATAATTAAATGTATTTTCTCTTTCCTCTCTCTCTTCCTATGTCATAGCCCACTTACTCCTGATAATATGTTTTGATATTTCCATATTATATTTCCTTTGGATAAGTTTGCAATTAGTAGCACAAGAAAGGTCCAAAAGAATTGTCTTTTAAACTGTGTGTGTGTGTAAAGTATTAACCAGTCAGATACTGAAAATCAAAGCCACACATACAAACACACACACGAAAAGACTTTGTCTTTTTATTTATATACTTTTACCTACACTATTTTGTTATCTTCACTATACAGAATCGCAGCTTGCTGTATTTATTTTTTAACATGGGTAACACTTAAATATTGAATTAGGAAGGAATATGCAAAAACAAACAAACAAACAAAAACCTCCAAACCCCCAAAGAATGATGAATAGAATAATATGAAGCAAAATGGTGGCACAGAATGAAACATAATGAAAAGGTACAATTATAAGACTGCCAAATGCTTCCAGTAACAGCGCTATCACCATATTGTGATGGGGCCATTGTATAAATCGTTTTTTGCTAGCTGCTTAAAGGTAATAGTACCCACATGTCTCATTCTCAAGTCTGAATTGATGCACTGGCCAGATAGACAGCTCTTTCTATATGTAAGGCAGTATCTTAAATTACATGGAGATAGACTTACCTCTGGGAAGGCAATCCTGTTAGCTCACTGTGCACTGCTGCTGTGTCCTGACATGAGAGTAGATAAGCTATCAAGAGAATCATAGGCGAAAAAATTTTACCCAGACGGAACCACATTTTCATTTCGTAAAAAACAAATGCTTTTCAGGTTTTAGTTTGGAAAACCTTTGGATGCTTGTTTTGAGAAATGACTGTAGGGAGGAAAACAGTACATTCTGCCCTCAGTGCTCACAGCACTGTGAATTATTAACGGAAGATCCGCTGTGCTCTACCGGGTACAACCCTTTTTGACATAGGATCCCAAACACCTGGGACATTGGCAAACAGGGTTGTTGTTTGTTTGCTTATAAGCACGAGCCATCAATGTGTTATCAACACACATGTACAAAAACCTTCTTTCTTATCCAAGGTATGGTTTTCTGCAATTAAAAGCTGGTATTGACAACCCCAGCATGTTACCCAGTACTTTGGAACCTGGGTCTGGTTACTGCTTGTTTAGTCTGGACGTTTTGTGATAACAGGGGGGAAATTACTTGAGAAATATTACAGGATTTTCTCTTCTCTTCTTTTTGGTGGGATATAGCTCATTGTAGTGTACACACTAATGGGATGGTCCGTCCATCGGTCCGTCTGTCCGTCCGTCCATCGGTCCATCGGTCCGTCCGTCCGTCCGTCCGTCTTACATGTGGCGCTCATGGTAGTGTACACACTAATGGGGTGGTCCATCCATCGGTCCGTCCGTCCGTCCGTCCATCCATCCAACATTACTTCCAGATATAGATGCTGTATTGCTCTTGAACTAGTGTTAAACAATGTAGAGAGAGAGAGAGTGCTGACTAGAAAACATGTGTGTAAAAATAAATGTATATAACAATATGTATGTAGTGGGAGTTTTGTAGTATGCCAAGTTTGAAAAAAATTGCTCTGTTTTGGCTGAAATCCTGTTCACAGAGCTAAAT